AATGGGAGAAAATTTTTGCATCCTATGCATCCGATAAGGGACTGATAACTAGAATATACTTAGAACTCACGAAAATTAGGAAGAAAAAATCAAATAACCCCATTAAAAAGTGCGCAAAGGACTTGAACAGAAATTTTTCTAAAGAAGACAGAAGAATGGCCAACAAACATATGAAGAAATGCTCAACATCTCTAATCATCAGGGAAATGCAAATCAAAACCACAATGAGATATCACTTAACCCCAGTGAGAATGGCCTTTATCAAAAAATCTCCAAACAATAAATGCTGGCGTGGTTGCGGAGAGAGAGGAACACTCCTACACTGCTGGTGGGACTGCAAACTAGTTCAACCTCTGTGGAAAGCAATATGGAGATACCTTAAAGCGATACAAGTGAATCTACCATTTGATCCAGCAATCCCATTGCTGGGCATCTACCCAAAAGATCCAGTGACACTCTACAAAAGACACCTGCACTCGAATGTTTATAGCAGCACAATTCATAATTGCAAGGCTGTGGAAACAGCCCAAGTGCCCATCAATCCAAGAATGGATTAATAAAATGTGGTATATGTACACCATGGAGTACTATTCAGCTCTAAGAAACAATGGTGATATAGCACATCTTATATTTTCCTGGTTAGAGCTGGAACCCATACTACTAAGTGAAGTATCCCAAGAATGGAAAAACAAGCACCAGATATATTCTCCAGCAAACTGGTATTAACTGAGTAGCACCTAAGTGGACACATAGGTACTACAGGAATAGGGTATTGGGCAGGTGGGAGGGGGGAGGGGGGCGGGTGTATACATACATAGTGAGTGAGATGTGCACCATCAGGGGGATGGTCATGATGGAGACTCAGACTTTTGGGGGGAGGGGGGGAAATGGGCATTTATTGAAACCTCAAAATCTGTACCCCCATAATATGCCAAAATAAAAAAAATAATTAAAAAAAAAAAAGCAATGGACCATATACAGAGCTGCAGCACGAAGAGAGGGAGTTACCAGCCGTCTCACAGGCTGACAGTAAGTACATATCTGTATCCAAGCAGTTTCTGTCCAGACAGTTGGGAAACACCAGAAGAATGCCAGCAAACACTTGGCTTCTAGGAGAAGGCTCAGTAGAAGCACAGGGTAGTTCTACATAGTCATGCCCAGGTACACAAAATAAAAAAAAAATAATAAAACATATTCAGAACTTCAAAAAAAAAAAAGATAAACCTAAATATGAACTGGACAAATAAAAATCTAAATAAATTTTTTGCATTATATTGGTATTTAAAATCATAACCACATGTTCTAAAATTTTAGATTATTTTTATGATCCTGCTTTCCCGTAAACTTTATTGTGACTTGGCAAGACTTGCAGATTTTATAAAGGCTAATGTCTTCCTTCCCAAGTTTATCTCCCGTTGCATTGTGTTCCTATAGTTCATTCTCTGAAGTCACATCAAAGATCTTAAAATGTGTCACTTGCAATTTAGTTAATGTTTTCTTTAAAACCCCTGTGTTTGTTGGGTAATAAGGAAACTTTGATAATGAAAACGGTTAATCTAAGTACATTTTATTAGGGGCATGTTAAGGTTGAGCACTCAGCAGGTAAGTGTTTAACACTCATAGGCATTTCAAAGCTCCTGGAAAGGTCCACTCTAAAGGGAAGCAGAGAGAGAATAACATTTGGGAAAAACAGAAATTGTGCTATAAGGACCAAAAGTGCAGGAAATAGTGGAATAAAGGGAATAAAGTTGTTCCCTAAGGAGACCTTTGAGTCTCAACATTCCCATGATTCTATTCTGCCACCATCTAGAGCTTTCGACTTAAACCTCAAGTTTAATGACATAGAACAATTTATATTCCATTCTTCTTTCATATAATACCTCTATTTCAAAAATTGTGAGTTTACAGCAAGAGTGTTCTATTAAGTGGAGCAAGAATTTCACTCCAGCTCTCCTCCCACCAAATTCCTCTGAATAATGCCTTCAATTATAATGAACAACTGGTTGGATACATAGAGTATCATTTAGGAATTTTGATTCCACTTTAATCCCTACATTTCCTATATGGTGTCCTAATGGCTTCAAAGGATGGCGTCTGCCTCATCTAGGTCATGTGGCATTTTGCCTGGCAGCAGACTTACAGCCACATCCTCCACCAGCAGATGACTCCTGGTAACTTCCAAAAATGATTATAATAATTTTGTGGGTGCTCCAGAATGAGCATCATCCTTATGTACTAAACCTATGCATGCCAGAGCAAACCAAAACGTCCCCCTTGATATGGGAAAGCTTCAGAATACAGGTATGGAGTAGAGGAGAGGCCATTCAGAGGTGATCCCTTATATCAGGGATAACTCCAGTATACTAGAATTGCCTGGGTCTCTCCTAATTCATGTCTCATTGATATCAGTTAGGGAAGTAAAGCTATATGGAATCTGCTGTAGATTGAATGCTTGTGTCCCCCCAACTCCAAATTCATATGTTGAAATACTAACTGCCAGGGTGATGGTATTAGGAGGTGGGGCCTTTGGGAGGTGAGTCAGGTCATGAGGGCCCCATTCCAATCCCATGATTTGGATTAGTGTCCTTATAAAAGAGAATCCAGAGAAATAACTTGCCCCTTCTACCATGTAAGAACACAAAGAAAACAGCCGATTATGAGGAAGCAGGCCTTCACCAGGCATAAAATTTGCCAGCGTCTTGCTCTTGAATTTCCCAGCCTCCATAACTGTGAGAAATAAATTTATGTTGTTTATAAGCTACCCAGTCTATGGTATTTTGTTGTAGCAGCCTGAACAGACTAAGACTGGTACTTAGACTGGTACTTAGAATTGGTACTGGGAGTTGGGTGCCGCTGTAACAATACTCAGAAATGTGGATGCAGCTTTGGAACTGGGTAATAGGTAGAGACTATAATAGTTTTGAGGTACATGCTAGAAAAAGCCTGCATTGCCATGAACAGACTGTTAAGTGTTATATTCTGATGAGGGCTCAGAAGGAGAGGAGGAGAGCTGGAAAGAAAGCTACAATCTTCTCAGAGAATACCTAAGTGGTCATGAGCAGAATATTGCTAGAAATATGGATGGTAAAAGCCATTCTGATGAGTTCTCGGATGGAAATGAGGAACATGTTATTGGACAATTGAGGAAAGACCATCCTTATTATAAAGTGACAAAGAATTTGATTGAATGTTCCACAAAACATGTTCTAGTGTTTTGTGGAAGGTAGAACTTGTGTGCAGTGAAATTGGATATTTGGCTGAGGAAACATTTAAGCAAAAATATCAAAGGGGAAACTTCGTTCCTCTTGACTGCTTATAGTAAAATATGAAATGACTTAAAGATGGAATTGTTAATCCAAAATAAAAGCAGAACTTAAAGATTTGAAAAATTCTCAGTCTCTCCATATTATAAAAAATGAGAAGGCCTGATCAGGATATAACACAAAGGGTACAGCCAAATTTCATAAGGAGATTATATGGACTTGCCATCTCAACAGAAGCTACAAGCTATTCATCAAGACAATGGAAAAATCAGCAGGCCATATAAATAGAAGTCAGAACCTATAGTCCAAGACAATGGAATAATGACCCCAAAGCTATTTTGAAGATCTTCTGGGCTGCCTCTCCCCTCACAGACCCAGAGTGCAAGGGGCTGGGGGACAGAAAGATTTCAAAGGAGGGGCTCAGGTAATATTGTATTACCATGCATCTCTGCCACCCCAGGTGCAGCTCTGGTGGTCCCCAGTGTATGTGCACTACACCCAGAAAAGCTGTGGGGACAGAGCTGTTCCCCCATAAATTTCAAAGGATTTCTCATAGAGTAACAGGGCCCAGGCAGAGAACCACCAGAGGGGTGGGGCACCACAGAAAGCCCTCACTAGGGCAATGCCCAGTGTAACAGTGGAGGTGGGGCTGTCCCTGTAATCCCAGACAAGCAGAACTACTGGGCATGTAATTCCAGCCTGGGGGAGCCACAGATGTGGGGCTGGAGCACAGAGATACTGCAGGGGTGAAATGCCCAAATCCATGGGGGGAGGACCTCCATCCCAGTGTGTCTGGAAGGCAGGACCCCCAACCCAGTGGGCATGGAGGACAGAGAAAAGAAGATTATTCTCAAGCCTTAAGGTTTTGGACTTGCTAGGGATCTGTCACTCAATTCTTATTTTCTATTTCTCTTTTGCAATGGGACTGTTTCTCTTGTGCCCATCTCACCATTTTAGTTTGGAAGCACATAATATGTTTGATTTTATAGGTTCACAGCCAGAGAGCAATTTGCCTAAAGATGAATCATATTTTAAGTATCTGATTTAAAGACCCTATCTGATTTGGATATTTAGATGAGACTTTGGACTTTTAATTTGATGCTGGAATAAGTTAAGACTTTGGGGGCTATTGGGATAGGATAAATGTATTTTGCATGTAAAAAGGACATGAATTTAGGGGGCCAGGAGTGAAATGTTACGGTCTAAATGTTTGTGTCTCCTAAAATTTATATGTTGAAATCCTAACACTCAAGGTGACAGTATTAGGAGATGGGATCTTTGAGAGGTAATTAGGTCGTGAGGACAAAGCCCTCACAAATGGGATTAGTGCTATTATAAAAGTGATCCCCAAAAGGTCTTGCTCTTCACTATTTGAGAACACAGCAAGAAACTGCCATCTATGAACCAGGACCAAATCTGCTGGCACCTTGATCTTGGACTTCCCAGCTTCCAGAACTGTAAGAAATAAATTGCTGTTGTTTATAAGCCACCCAATCTATATTTTGTCATAGCAGTCTGAACGGAACAAGACAGAGCCTGATAGTAGAGCCTTTCGACTGAGGAGAGAAATAGGTCAAATTAATAGTAGTAGGTGCTCCAGGTATATTAAGATTCTCCATTTTAACGTTGTGCACACACACATATATGCACATACACAAAGTGTGTAAAATGGTCTGTTATGACAATCAAGTATGTGTGAGCTACCTCTTTCAAAATTATTTCAGTTAGCATCCTTACCTCATCTGCAACTTTCCATATTTCTTGATCACTCCACTGTTCATAGGGATCCAAGTTTTTTCTAAATGTTCCAGAAAAGATGAACACTTTCTATAGCAATAAAGAAAAGAAGAAAATGTGAATAATCTAAACACCTTTTTATTTTTCCATTATTGTGCTGTAAAATATTTCTAGTAGAAAAATATTTTAAAATACTATAACAAACACCCATATACTTACCATATAGTTTTCTTAAATTTTAATATTTTATCATGTTTGCTTTGTATGTTTTTAAGAAACAAAATATTATAGCAATGTTTGAAACCCCTTGTAAACATTTTTCTAATCCCAGTATCTTTAGAATAAAGAAATTGAGATCATGGTAAGTTGTACAAAATTACATCTTTTTATTTCTAGTAATATTCCTTATTATTGGCAAATATAAAATTTAAAAGTTAAAAGGTTAAGTTTATGAGTTATAATTAACTTGTTAGAACAAATGTTTGTTTTGTTAATATGTTTTCCTTGGGTTTCTTTGCTATATCTAGCTTCTTAAGGGATTTTGAAATTGTCTTAAGTTATACTTTTTCACACACACATTTATCTCATCTGTAAACCAAGGCACGACTCTACTTATCTGACCAGACAGGCACATAAGAGAGCCACAACTTAGAAATCAATGAAAGAGCAGAAATAAAATATTTGTTTAATTGAACACGTTACAGAAGAAAGGCAGATGAGACTGATCCTGGTGAGGTGACAAAATGACAGTCTAATTCTCTGCAACAGCAATTACCCTGAGACACTCTATTGGCCCCATCACTGTCTAGTTAGGTCTGCCTATTTGATTAAAACATGTTTTGAAAGAAAACTGCTATTTCATGGTAAAATGCTAATGTAATAATAATAATATACTTAATTCTCTCTTTGTGCATATGGGTGAACTGAAAAAAGATTTTTGATGTTAATATTTAGAATAATTTTTTCTTTGCTTTTTTCCCTTTTGCTTTGGTTAATAACATCCACTAAGGGGAATTAAAAACTAAATTTCTTGAAGCCATAGTTTTCACAAATTGCCTTAGACTGAGAGAGAAGTAGTTAAGTGACTTGCCTAAGGTCACTTAGCTAGTAGACATTAGGAACCCAGAAGTATTCAAACCCAGGAGTATTTGTCTCTAAACCTGTGCTCCTCATTACCACAGCAAAATATCTCAGTCCTCTGTGGACCAGATTCTTTCTCCCTATGTGGAGCTCAGGAAGGATCAAAGGCTGGGGAGGATCGACCCGGCGAATGCATAAAAAGCCTGTCAGCACACAGCAGCATATTCTTTATCAAACTCTGTTATCCATCCCTCTGGCCACAGGCTCACCTTTCTCCCATGCAGGACCCAAGTCAAAGGGGTTCATATGGACTAAGCCTCTTTGTAACTTCCAAGGAGACTTACATATGCAAAGGAAGCACACAAATAGAAATGTTTATTTTGGACAAATGTAATAATGCTGTTATCCTGGAGGACTGTTGGGGGAGGTCAAAGATGTTATAGCATCAAAGCAGACACAGAGATATAAAAGGCAATGCGGTTTGCAAAAATGTCACAGTAATGCACTTTTGCCCTGGAAGGTGTGTCTAGGAACAGGAACCCAGACTCTTTGGTTCCCTGTGTCTATTAAATAGGGACATGCTACCCTTCTCCTCAAATTTCCTGTACCTCCAGGCTTCCTCATCTCAGTATATGATACCTTTTCAGTCTAGATACTTGGGAATTGTCCATGACTTATCTTTCTCCCTGATCTTCCCAAATAAAATTAATCATCTGTCCTATAAATTATCCCCTCTGGACCATTGCAAGAGCCTCCTACTTGATTTCTTTCATTCTTGCTTCTGTTCCCTTCCATTCTCATTTAGCAATCAGAGCAATTCACCACAGGCATAAATTGGATCATTTCATTAACCTTCTACAAAACCTTCAAAGGATTTCCACTCCGGGCAAAATGTAACATTTCCAAGATGGCCTCCAAGACCTTACATGACTTTGCCCTTCTACACTCTGGCTCCCTTAGTGTCCTTTTCCACTCCCTTCCCTTTCTTACTGCAACCACACTGGCTTTCTTTTACTTCTTCAGCTTCTCCACACATTGGATTCTCTCTGCCTGGGAATCTCATCCTCTACATCTTTCAGGTTCAGATTAAATGTCACTTTGTCATGAGTATCTTTCCTGATCCTTAATACCAAATAAGGCCTCCCAATATATGGTCTTATAACTCCTATTCTGTACTTTCATAGCTTATAGTGAATATTTTTTTTTTTTTGAGACAGAGTCTCACTTGTTGCCCAGGCTAGAGTGAGTGCCGTGGTGTCAGCCTAGCTCACAGCAACCTCAAACTCCTGGGCTCAAGCAATCCTTCTGCCTCAGCCTCCCAAGTAGCTGGGACTACAGGCATGCGCCACCATGCCCAGCTAATTTTATATATATATATTAGTTGGCCAATTAATTTCTTTCTATTTATAGTAGAGACGGGGTCTTGCTCTTGCTCAGGCTGGTTTCGAACTCCTGACCTTGAGCAATCCGCCCGCCTCAGCCTCCCAGAGTGCTAGGATTACAGGCGTGAGCCACCGCGCCCGGCTTGAATATTAAGATTATATATGCATCTGTGAGCACTTTGTTTTTGATGTCCATCTATCCTACTAGACCATAACTTTGCTCTATACCTTGTCATTAGCAAAAGCTTTGTCTATAATGTATGTTCAATAAATGTTGCCTGAATGAATAAACCAATGTGAAAATAAAAAGTAAAAAATATAAAAATATTAAAGTTATAGTTCAACACATGTTATTTTTCTTCCTTCTGAAAGAAGAGCTACTACAACCTACTGAGGATTCTTTGGCCCAAAAGGGAAACATAAAAATATATACATATATAATATATATATATATACACACACACACACACACACACACACACACATACATACACACACACCCACCATGTATAGTTCTATTAAAACGTGGCCCAAATGCTTATAAGTATCACAGTATTTAAAGGAATTATACTAACAACCCACTAAAACTTGGGACCTTCTTTATAATGGTTTGCCTAAACTTTACTCATAATACTGTAGTCTAATAGTTTATATCAAATACCTATCAAATGCATGTTAATATATCATATATAATTTTAGTTAAAATAGATATATTTTAAAAATTATGAAGAAATTTGTTTGTTGAAATCAAATGTCCAAAAGTTTCAGGTGTGGCGGATTTGGTACCATTCAGAAATTCTGTAGATCTTTTGTTTATAATTTATTGTGTAGCATAAGGTAATGAAGTAAATACTCTTCTAATTTAAAAGAGAAATTAACTGAACAAACTGGTTTGGTTAGAATTCAATTTCATACAATTAATCAGACATTCCAGTCCTGCATTACAAATAGTATCTGGCACTCTCTTGCTTCCAAGGGTGCCAGTGGGTGTCTAGTTCTGTTTATAAACTATTTGAACTTTCCACAAACTCATCTCTAAGCTGAAAGGTCCTTGGAGGTCACGTAAGTCCTTTTCCCTGGTTTACAAGTGAAACAGCCAAGACCCTGGGAGGTTACATGGCTTGGCCAATGTGGTGCATTCAGACTGATTGTGTAGCAAAAAATATACCTTAAACTATCAATCACAACAATGATGCCCTATCTTTCTTTTAAGAAACTGTTCACTAGTAGGAACGTTAGAGAGTGTAAATATTTAATATTTATTTAATGTCATGTATGGTATAAAGGACAATTCTTGAAACTCAAGGAAGAATAAGAGCACCATTATTCACCACATGACTAATGTCTTTGCTAAAGCTGACTCCTCAACTCAACTCGGTGGAAACAGCTGAGCCTACATGGAGTCCTTAGAGCTGGTCACGCATTACTGCAACAGGCATTATGCTTTAGCACTGGATGTAAAATGAAAAACAAAAAAGCAATTTGGCTTCTGTGGTGACTAAATGTAATATAAATTACAGAAATGGGAGGAATAACTCTTTACCTTTAAGTATACAGTGGTGTTTTGTTGTGGCTCAGAAGGAATATGTTTATACACATACACACACACACACATATATCATGTATAGGTCTATTAAAATGTGGTCTAAATGCTTATAAGTATCACAGTGGTTTTATATTCCTTTTTGACAATGTCAGCAACATTTTCTTATAAATTGAATCTATATAATAAAAATCTATCCAGTGTGAACAAATCAAGATCCTAAGGTTACATTAGAGAATGTTTAGAAGTAAGTGTTGCTAGGAAAAAATAAATAAGTGTTGCTTTGGAGTTTTTTGTTTGTTTGTTTTTTGTTTTTTGAGACAGGGTCTTCCTTTGTCACCCAGGCTAGAGTACAGTGGAGTGATCATAGCTTACTGCAGCTTCAAACTCCTGGGCTCAAGCGATCCTCCTGCCTCAGCCTCCCAAATAGCTGGGACTACAGATGCATGCCACTGTGCCTGGCCAATTTTTCTTATTTTTGTATAGGCGTGGTCTCACTATGTTGTCCAGGCTGGTTTTCAACTCCTGGCCTCAAGCAATCCTCTTGTCTCAGCCTCCCAAAGTGTGGGATTATAGCTGTGAGCCACAGTACCTTGCCTGCTTTGTTTTTTAAGAATGGCTATTAGCTAGGACAAGATGAATAAAATATTCCTCAGTCAAAATTATTTAAGATTTATAACAAATATGAAATAATTTTATAATATCAATGTACATATCATATATTTGTATGTAAATGATTACATGTAAGATATATACAAGCTATTTCCTGTAAAATTATTTAATGCTTCACAACTTTTTTATACTACAACTTTTAGTAGACACATTTTCAGAGGTAGCATAAAAAAATGTTTTCCTAATCTGACCAAATAATCAAAAAATTTAAATTTTTAGGCTCAGAAGTAATAAAATTGTGTTATACTTTTTTCCACACCGGTTAAATTTCTCTTCACCCTTGAATTCAGCACCGCACCCACACCATCCTCATTTTAGTCTAGACTATTGTCATATCACAGCTGGAGAGTTTCATAGCCTACGTCCCTGCTTCCCCTGCTGCTTCCCCAAGCCTATCCTCCACATGCCTCCAGCAGCAGAAAGATCCTCTACCACCCTTTCATCAGCCTCTTCCTCACTTAAAAAGAGTCAACCCATGCTTCACAGGACCATGCTGGTACCTGACACATCTTTCCCTCTTTCTCCTAAGACTCCCTAACATGTGGCCTCTCCTGATCCTTTGCATCCCAATGTTTTCAGTTCCCATCTTTGTACTTGCACATAATCTTCCTGTCGGGCAGTCTGGAATACCCTCTCCATACCCTGATGCCCCCAAACTTTCTAAAATCTACAAGTTTTATGACCCTTTATGGCTGACCTTAATTATCACCCTCTTTGTAAAACTATCCATACTTATTTGTTCATTCCTATAATATATACCTTCAATTCAATACAAAGGTGAAAGAGACATGATTCCTTGTCCTCAAGGAACTATAAACAATAAGCACCACCACAATACAATATATTGTACTTACTATGGGCCAGGAAGGAGTCTAAGTACTTTACCTGTATTAATTCATTCAGTCCTCACAAAAATGCAGTGAAGTAATTACTACCATTATACTCACTTTATGGACAAGGAAAGTGAATCACAGAGAAATTAAATAGCTTGCCTGAGATTATACAGATTAAAGTCCAGATACTGGTAGAACTACAATCCCTTATAAAAGAGACCAAGCATTTAGTGACTCACACAAAACAATGTATATTGAATTCTTATCATGGAAGCTATTGTGTTATCCACTCTGTAAGAGATAGAAAGAAAAATAATCTATGTTTCATTTAGCATTTCTAATATATTCTTTTTACTAGTCTGTTTCAGTTGTCGATGATCTTGTGTTTAAATCTTGCTTCCTTAACTGAATGTCTGCAAAGTGTTTATGACACTAAGTGGAAAGAAACAAATCCACAGATAACTGAATGAGAACTTCTAATATAAGACAGTTCAAAAATGCTAGGAGAGATTATGAACAAAGTTCTAGATCCTATGTGAGACTGGAACGTGGGAGTAGAATGTTGGCGCTGGCGTGAAAAACCTAAATGTTGCTCTAAAAAGTTTAACTTGTGTGCAACATATAATGGAGGGACACAAGGAAAAAAATAGGAGAAAGGCCCAGCAGTGGGAGTAGGAAAAAAGGAAGGACACACTGATGTGGTGGAGAGGGGACATGAGGGCTTGAGGCTGGCCTTTGCCTCACCATTACCCACAGCACTTCCTGACTAGCCCATGCCTACACCCATGACTATATTTAACTACCTAAATTTAATTTATCATGCTGGTTATATTCTTTCTTCCTTTGATCTTTGACTTATGACAATGCATGTAATTCTGAACTTCTCATTAGAAGCTCAGAGGTTGAATTGGGACCTCTTGGTGGCAATTCAAGGACAAGTGCTAGCTATACCTTTTGCATAACTATGAAGCTGTAATATTATTTTAAGCATACAGATGGGGGTTAATAACTAATTATTAAATTATTAATTATAAAACTGAATTAGAACTGCTACGCCCCTGACTTCATCATTCAGATCTACAGATACATGTTTTGGCCCCATCTCATATCCTCCAGAGCCAAAGATGCCCCAACTCTGTGGTGGGAGTCATGTGAACATATATTATTTTCAGATCATAAAGTCTCATTGCAAGAATAGGCCTAGTTATTTCCTCAGAATAGCTTGCAGTCTTTCAAACTTGTAACTGAAGCTTTAAAAATTATTTTTCTGTTTTTTGTGAATTAAGTACATAATAAGATTAAAGGCTAATGAATCATTTTAAGTCTTGGTGTTCGAATTACCTAAACCAATGGGAATCTGACTAAAAGCTTCATTGTCTCCTTTTCATGACCTCATAGATCACAGGTACAGTAGAACATATTAAGGGAGGCTCTACCTGGAAATGTACACAATAGTCTGTCTTCCAAGCTGGCGCAGTCTCCAAGATTGCTTTCTAGCTTACAAGAGGGAAGAACATTAAAAAAACAAAGAAATTGCAAGGACTTGCCAAAACCAATGGCATCTTGTGATTCCACAGCTGGTGTCTCAGGATCACGATGAGAAAGAAAGGAAGTTTCTTGTTCAAAGTTCCTGTTTCATGTGTCTGAAAACAAGTGACTAATTGATCCAGAGATCTCTAATGTTTCGATGTCAGAGATCATCAGAACTATGCCCTTACAAGGTCTGAAAGATAGAAGGAAGAAAAAAAATGGAAAAGCAAACAAAAAATAGCTCTTCTTGGATTTTTCTTCCTTTTTTTTTTAAAGATCAAACTCCAGGAAAGGAAAAAAAATTACTTACTTTGAACTTTCAAAGAAAAGTTAGAAAAACAAAAGCATCTCTTAGTTTGGACATCAAAAATATATGAGGAGTTTACCCTCATGTATTTTCTATGGCATTCACATAATGTTCAATAACTGTCACAGAGGGCCAGGTATGATGGCTCATGCCTATAATGTTAGCACTCTGGGAGGCTGAGGTGGAAGCATTGTTTGAGCTCAGGAGTTCAAGACCAGTCTGAGCAAGAGCGAGACCCTATCTCTACTAAAAACAGAAAAAATTAGCTGAGCGCTGTGTCTCATGCCTGCAATCCCAGATACTCAGGAGACTGAGGCAGGAGGATGGCTTGAGCCCAGGAGTTTGACGTTACAGTGAGCTATGATGATGCCACTGCACTCTAGCCTGGATGACAGAGTGAGACTCAGGCTCAAAAAACAAGACAAAACAAAAAAAATCGTCACAGTGGAAGAAATAGTACATTCTGTCTACAGATGACCTTGTAATACTAAAAGACAGCCTCATAAACCAGGATCATAAACATATACATGAGAAGCTTCTGTATCAGCATCATCAAGCATTTCTGAAGGAATTTTGGAAGTATTTCTTGTTTAGCTTACATAAAGCTTGAAGCTACAGAAGAGGGAAAATGAAAAACAGCAAATTTGGAATATTCGGTTTGACAGACAAGCAAGGCAAAGAAATTTCGTAACTCTGGCCCACTCAGTCTTCTTTCAGGTCTTGCATATTTAGATTCCTAAGTAAAGCATGCAATAAAACAAAAACCTCTCCACCGCATGGCAGATAACCTAAAGGATTTCCAGTGAAACTGAAATTAATTTTCAAAGCTTAGCTTATTGTAAGGGCAGATTTATGTAAGCAAGAAGAATAAAACCTAAAAGTTTCACTGTTTTTAATTAAAAATGCGACCAAAAGACTATAGTTAAACTGAATCACAACACTTCTTGACAAGTTCTCTGATTCTATTTTATGGTTTTCAACATTTTTGTTGTGCCTAGTGCTATCACCTTGGGATACTTGTATTTCCAGTGTTTCTTTATCTGTAGACCATCAGACAATGCCTTTTTTCTTTCCAAAGAAACAATACTGTTTTCAAAACTCCAACCAGGATTAAGCTTCTGGCAGCATAGCAAAAGTTTACACAAATTAATTAAAAACATCAGTCTAGCAGTTAGAATATTTAGTGCCTCATTAGTTGAAAGGAGCAATGTTCCACAAATGTAATCTATCAAGAAATACAAGCTTTTTTCTTGGTCTAGATTTGTAGTCAATTTACCTGGAGATGTTCCTGGCATTTTAATTTTGTACTAAAAGTAGAGAAGTGTTAGAAAGAACCATGGCAGTGGAATGGATTCAGTGCCCATTAGTACAAAGGGAGGAAAATGATCATTAAAACAGTGAATATACCCAAAGAGATGAGAGCAAATACTAGCAGAAATACAACAAATGCCTTTCAGATTTGGTCACAGTAAAGACATTTCTTGGTTTCCATTTAGATCATTTTAAACTGGAACCATTGCTATTTCTCTTATATACAAGAAGTGCCCTTGCACAATAACACAGAATGACACCAAGCCAGTGAGGCTAAAGATCCTTTGTGACCCAAATCAAAGAGTGACATTTATAAAAAAAGCTACAGATTAATCTGACATGGTTCATCCTATCCCAAGTACAAAAAACAATCATTACACTTTCTATTTTCAATTCCACTAGCTCATGCTTCCAAGTGTTTGTTATTTCAGGAGAATCTTTCATGGTCTTGCAAAGCATTTCTCAACCTGCTGTGACTGCTAAATTGGAGCTCAGACCACTGAAGTGGGGTGGGGGGAAGCTGGTAAAAACAAAAGCCCCAGGCTCCTGCTGCAGACTGTCTTTTGGGAAATGCTATCAAAACTGTGAACATTTCAATAAATATCAGTCACATAAAATCCCAAATTTTCAGAAAATTTTTTATGTTTATGAAAAGAGTGCATTGAAGAAAAAAGATGGCAATGCATCACAAATATATTTTGCAGAGTAATGTGAATTTCTTGAGCACAAGTGTCAAAGGTAAAAATGCAATATAGTTGCTTTTCTCTGGCTAAGTCTTTTTGCTTACTTGAGGTATCACTCCAAAGGCTTTCCTCCACTGTTGCAAAGTTATTGAATCCCAAGACACACCATCAATCTGGATTTCTCCTTCAGTGTTCAGTAGTCTCAAAAAAGCCGATAACAAGGTACTCTTCCCTGATCCAGTTCTTCCCAAGAGGCCCACCTGTAAGGTAAAAGTGATGGGATTATTCCTGTGACATTCAGATACCATGCCTTAAATGTAATTCAGCATTGGATTTCAATAAAAACCATTGGAATATTTTCTCCTGTCATCAGAGGATTTGCACTTACTCATTCAAACCTTTCTGCACACTCCCAATCCTGACCAACATTGACACATGGTGAAGAGCAATGCTGGAACAGAACAGAGAAACTGGCAATAAGGAATTGGACCCCTGATGCTGGATTCATTTATCACTGACCTTTACTAAAAATTAAAAATCCCCATTTTGCATTAAAGACAAGCAAAGATAGAATATCTTCCTCCACATCACCTGTAAAGAGGGGTTCAAGCCAGAAGCAGAGACCTGCAGCTTGATCTAGTCCCCAAAGTGGATATGACTTGAAAATTAATTAATCTGAAATGGGTCTAATATTTAGTATATTAGTAATGTTTAATATTACCATCCCTAACAAGTTAATTATATCAAGTTCAGGCCTGACAATAAATAAGAATATGTTCAGGCACCAGTATCTTCCCAGAGAAGGCAGGTTCAACCAAGGTTTACCACGCCTTGGTGGACTAGCACTTTGGACAGTTGTCAAATCAAATTCTTACATCCATCCTGATTGGCAATATAGGATATTAGGCAAAAAGGATATTAAGGAAAAGAAAAAAAAAACTATTCTTGTTACCTAAAAATGGTAAGAGCATAGCATGGAAGTGAGAACGCCATGTAGTACAATAGGTGGCCCACAGAGAGCCCCAGCTCTGTGTTAAGATGTCAGCTCAGAAGCCAGCACTTGAAGGTGTTTTGAACAGGGCTTTATTTTTTAATTTCCATTTCACTACAAATCAATACTTTAAAAAATATATAATAAAAATGAATTTCTAAATGCTTACTTACTGTCAATTTCTATACTTATCACAGACCAGTAACAGTTTGTAAACTAGAACCAGTGCATGAACCACAGTAAATGTTTTAGAGTATATAACAACCCTTAATAATAACAATAATAATAATAATTTATTCATGCCTATAGTTCCAGCTACTTGGGAAGCTGAGGTGGGAGAATTGCTTGAGCCCAGGAGTTCAAGGTCAGCCTAGGTAACATGGCAAGACTGTGTCTCAAAAAAGAATTAATAATCATATCATCTGAGTATAATGACAATTTCATTTCTTCCTTTTCAATACTAATGCCTAGAATTTATTATTATCTTATTGCACTGGCTAGGACCTCTACCACATTGTTGAATAGAAATTAGATAGGGGACATGGATATCAGGTTCATGATTTTAAAGGGAATACTTGTAAAGTTTTCACATTCCAAAAATATATACAACTATGACATATCAATAAAAAAATTTAAAAGTTTACACATTTAGGATAACAAAAAATAATAATAATAGCTTACAGACAACTTATTAGGAAGCTGGTGATGAAGTAGGCCTTTGGGATAAGATGGTAAACAATAATGACACAATTGTCTTCCTATCCATCATAAGAGCCCTACAATGGGACTTTCACAAGTTTGTTCTCTGAGACAACTGAGAAAACCAGATCAACCAAATGTTATGCATAACACCCTGCTGAGTTTCTTCATAGTAATAATCACAGTTATTATTTTATTTATTTTTTCTTGATTATTTCTTGTCTTCACCCTAAGAATATAAGTTCAACAAGAGCATCTTGTTGAACATCTATCTTGTTTTCTATTGAATTATCAGCATAGTGCTTGGTTTATACAAAGTGCTCAATAAATATTTGAATTGACTGAGGGATAGTCAGATGGAAGGACAGATATATGGATGATCAGATAAAAGAAGAAATGTATTTAGCTGATCTAATTAATATTAATAAATGGATTCAGTCAATTTTGGTCAATTACCAGATCAACTCCTAACTTTAAAATCTTTTGAAACTTCATATGCCCTTGTTGCACAAGCACATTCACTGTATGCCATGACTTTTCAAACACAACAGCAAAGCTTTGTATGAGCCATCTGAATATGTTTAGTGAGGGTGAGGTATGCGGGAAGAGAAGAAAAGCAAGTTCCATAGGTGGAAGTGGTTTGCTCTAAGGTTAATCATTTCAAGAAGCTTTGGTGAAAAGTGCCTTGAGATCTAAATCCCTATATCATTAGTCAGGGTTCTAATGATGATTAGATAAATGACCATATTCCCTTTCCTTCAGAAACAAATACTGAAATCTTTAGGGAACTCAGTTTTTATGTTGGGATAAGACTGGATCAAGAGGCAATTTGTAAATCTTTTGTTTAGCTTTAAAGTTTTTGAGCCATTGCTCTGGTTTCCTTATATCATTAAACTGCTGGTAATGTATTATGTATGACGTGTTTTTCAACAGCTAGGAATCACACTGGTTTTTACCTATGTTTATATAATTGGCACATAATAATTCTTTTCCGGGGTTTGTTTTTCCAGGCTTCTCAGTGATCTGTTGAGTAAGGCTAGAGTACTTCCTGCAAACAAGTTTTTAAAGACATACTCTAATTCTAAGTCAGTATTTTCTGGTAACTTCAATGTACCTCCTCCCTGAGAAGTTTGGATCAAGATAAATCAAAATATTATGTGGAGAGTTAAACAGTGTTAAGTTTGGGGCTAGCTGTAATTGCATTGTATTATTCCATGAATAGAACAGTCTCAGTACATTTCTTTCAGGGTGTCTTACTCACCATTTTAATAGTGTAATAAATGAAAACCTCTTGTAATTATTTTTCATTTCCTGTGGTTTCCAGAAATCAAGATGCCAAGTCAAGTGAAATTTAGATCCACAAGTGATTACAATTGAATGTTTTATATGTTCATATATCTCTGTTAATAAAAGTCTTGAGAATATGCTATCCATAAACCCAATATAAGTTACTGAATGATTCAATTGCTTAACACCTATTTTTATCAAGTCAAAAAATGGGGTATATGTTTAATAAATCAAATAGTCACTTAGGTGATTGTGTTGATATGATTTGAATGCTTGATATTCTTATAAATTATTTCTGGCATAGTATTTTGAAAGGACTAAAAATTGAGAAAGCAGATAAATTCCCACAAAAAATGTTAAAAGTACTATTAAATATCATTTTAATCAGAGAACTGCCCAGTACTATATACACTATATCCTCTGAGGAATTTTGGTAAGTCCAGGTTTATAATGAAGAACCTTACTCTAAATTAAGATCCAAGCCTACATTTTTGAGAGGAAAAAAGAAAAGAAAAAAAAATATTCTAGTTGGAGGAAAGCGATCTGGCTATTAAAATTTAGACAAAAAGTCAAAAGCTTTTAAGAAAAAACTATTTGAAGTTAGTGGTGTATGCCTGTAGTCCCAGCCCGGGTGTTTAAGGCTGCAATAAGATAGGATCCTGTCACTGCACTCCAGCCTGGGGGACAGAATGAGACACTGTCTCAAAAAGAGAATGAAAGAAAGAAAAGAAGAAAGAAAATGAAAAGAAAAGAAAGAAAACTATTTGAGATTAAAAATAAAAATAGATTTTTAAAGTACCAGTTGTGAAATAGTTGCTACATTTCTCACACTTTGAAAATAAAAACTTTTAAAGTATAGATTCTATGAATTAAAGGCCTCAATTAAGAGCAAATAAAGTAATACCATCTTTTTCCTAAAGTAATTGTTATGGACAAAGTGTTTTAATATGAAGATTGCATAATTTTTCTGCACAAAATATTGATTTTTTTCACCTATTCACCAAATAGACAAGAACACAAAAATCCATTAAAAATGAAATGAGATACCCACTTAAGCCCTTAATTTTCAACCGCCTTCCCCCATCAAGAAGAGTAATTAGCCCACAGCTGAGTTTGCAGTGTTTTGGATATCCAAGATAGTATACTAAATTTGAGTCTACTTCTTAAGCATATAAGAAGTATGTTTGGAGCATCCTATTATTTTAATAATTTACAAGATGCTGTTAATATGCTCTAAAGATAAGGCGGTAGAAATGAAATTTTTTTTGAGACAGGCTGTTCTGTCACCCCAGCTAGAGTGAAGTGGTATCATCATAGCTCACTGCAACCTCAAACTCCAGGGCTCTGGTGATTGAGTCATAGCCTGCCACTACCTCTTGAGTAGCTGGAATTATAGTCGAACACCACCATGCCTAGCTAATTTTTCTATTTTTTGTAGGTGTTGCTCTTGCTCAGGCTGGACTCAAACTCCTGAACTCAAGCAATCCTCCTGCCTTGGCTTCCTAAAGTCTTAGAATTAGAGGCGCGAGCCACAGCACTTGACCCAGAAATGACATTCTTACGAGACTTACTCATAATGACATTTTAAGAATCAATTCCTAGTCTAAAGAAGCTTATGACTTACAAATAGGTATAAGCCATTCATTTACTCATTCATTCATTCACTTAAAATCTATTAAGACTTTACCTACTGTGCTACATAAAGGAATAAAAAAATTAAAAACAGGACTTCCAGGTTCCAGTCTGGCTTGTACAAAGATTGGAAGTGGCCATCCTACCCTAACCACAAACCAACAAGCAGAAACCTCTGAGGGTTTCTACTATCAGGGTAAGAAAACTACTATCTACTACCAGGGTAAGAAAACCTAAAATGTAACTGACAAATTGCTGGAGACTCAGTGTAGACAAGTCTGACAGTAATAAAATTCCAAGGGGCCCAGGCATGGGAGGACCTCCATACTATTATGAATTTTGCCTCCAGAAGCCCTACCAGGTTCTCACATTGAAGATCAGAGAAAAATCCCCTCATGTTTCTAGGGGGTAGAGGGGAAAAGTAAACATTTTGAAATATGCCAGAGTATTGTGCTCCTCTATGCAGGCCTGACCTCCAGAGAAATCATTTTACCATCCCTAGCCTATTAGGGGTTTTCCCAGAGCCTAACAGACCTAGGGGAAGGGAAATAACTGGACCCCAACCCACTCTAGCCATTCTGTCCTATCTAAGGCTGTGAAAAAGCTGAGAAGCACTTGTGAAGTTCACAGCTCAAAGGCTCGGGCTCACAA